AAACTAACTAGGCCTACGTCTGAGGTTCCTGATGACAAACTAACTAGGCCTACGTCTGAGGGTCCTGATGACAAACTAACTAGGCCTACGTCTGAGGTTCCTGATGACAAACTAACTAGGCCTACGTCTGAGGGTCCTGATGACAAACTAACTAGGCCTACGTCTGAGGTTCCTGATGACAAACTAACTAGGCCTACATCTGAGGTTCCTGATGACAAACTAACTAGGCCTACGTCTGAGGGTCCTGATGACAAACTAACTAGGCCTACGTCTGAGGTTCCTGATGACAAACTAACTAGGCCTTCGTCTGAGGGTCCTGATGACAAACTAACTAGGCCTACGTCTGAGGTTCCTGATGACAAACTAACTAGGCCTACGTCTGAGGGTCCTGATGACAAACTAACTAGGCCTACGTCTGAGGGTCCTGATGACATACTAACTAGGCCTTAGTCTTATCAATCAATCAATGGACTCTCACCACCCTACAGATGGCCTTGGTGTCTTCTGTAAACTTGTCGCTGTACTCCTCCTCTTCCTCCTGCACCCTCTTCTCCACCTCCTCCCTCTTCACTCGTTCTTTGCGTGCGCGGAAGGGTGAGCGTCCCGCGGTCATCTCATAGATGAGACATCCCAGCCCCCACCAGTCTGGACTCATCCCATAGCGCTCGTTGTTGATCACCTCCGGAGCTACACACACAGCACAGTATGACACCAGATTGTCCCAATGCCACGTTCTCATCATGCAGGTTTGATGATATCTTATTTGTATGGTAAAACATTTAAATTGATAATGTATTACGATAATGTAAGGTTTTTGTCCAATGATTTTAGCCTATATGTATTTTATAGATGTATTATAAATGTATTATAATGTGTGGTAATACCATATGGAGGTGTCTTACCCATGTAGCCCACTGTTCCCACTCTGCCTCGTATGGGGTCCCCTTCAGGCACTTTGATGGCCAGGCCCAGATCTGAGATCCGGATGTGTCCTACAGCAGAGGGGAAGAGGTCAGGGTTCAAAGATCAGTCATATTTAGCAGAGAGTCTCTCTGTTAAAAGACATTATCCCAGTAGTTATGCTATTGTACAGTAGGAAGAAGGTCAACTCACCATTATCATCTAATAGAATATTCTCTGGTTTTAAATCCCTGAAAGAAATTTCCAAAACCGCAGTTAGTTTGGTGCATTTGACATTGGGACTAAAACCAATACATCATGTGTTGATATCACGTGATCTCTGGAGACATTGGTATAGCGAATGACAATCAGACAAACAGACTGTTCATTAGGTTATAGGTGGAAGTAGGTTGCAATCTGAAACTAGATCTGTGTTTAAGGGCAACTTCTATCCTGTGAGTGTAGGTGCTATGATAAAAAGCTGTCACCTGTAGACGATGGATTCCTGGTGTAGGTGGTCCAGGCCGCAGCAGATCTGGGCAGCATAGAACTGGACCCTGTCCTTCTCAAAGCCTGGAGTTCCCATGCTATAGATGTGGAACTTCAGATCTCCTCCATTCATTAAGGTCAACACTAGACACAGAGCATCTTTGGTCTCATAGGCATACGCTAAACTCACCTAGAGAGGGGTCAAAGACACATAGGGGTAGCGATTAGAGATCAGACAGAGAGGGAGAGAGACAGAGAGAGAGAGAGACAGAGAGACAGAGACAGAGACAGACAGAGACAGAGACAGAGAGACAGAGAGACAGAGAGAGAGAGAGAGAGAGAGAGGAGAGAGAGAGAGAGAGAGAGAGAGAGAGGAGAGAGAGAGAGAGAGAGAGAGAGAGAAAATAAAGTGAAAGAAGTGTGTATTGTGTATGGTCATGTCTCCTAATAAATAACAGGAGGAGACTCACAACAAATCTGCTGTTGACCTTCTCTAGTATTTGTTTCTCATTGAGGGCCATGGACTCTCCTTTCCTCTTCTTAATCCTCTTCTTCTCTAACTTCTTACAGGCATACATCTTCCCTGTGGCTCGCACCTGGCACGCACACACCTGGTAGAACACACACAGTATTATACCATAGGCCAGTTTATCTCACAATCACAATTTTCAAATAATTCTCCTAAATGGACAAATTTGCCTCACCTCTCCGAATCCTCCCTTCCCCAGTACTCTGTACTGTCGAAACGTGTCCTTAGCTATTGGCTGCCTGAAAACACACATCAGCCATTAATGTACAGCTGAATAATAGTACACTGTACATCATGGAACATAGTAATACTAGCCTAGGTGCAAGGCTGCTCCTGCTTTAGCCAATTTGTAATGTTGTATGGAGAAAGTACCAGACTGATAGTTGATCATCACTAAAAACATCAGTTTCTATTAGATTTTGTAGGAGTTTTTAGGCAGCACTCACCTCTCCAGCATCTTCCACTGTAGGAAACGGTCAAAGTACATGCTGTTCTGGTAGTCCGAGAAGGGATCTCCTCTCAGGTAGTGATGGAGAGCCCTGAGAGCACAGACGACAAGAGGTTACTGGTTAAAGCCCTGAGACAACAGACAACAGCTGCAGTTACAGTTAACAAGGTGCTAAGGCAGCTGGTGGTCCCTCCAGGGTGTTAGTGCTTTAGCCAACCCCTCTCTGTGTTCCTTCATTGTCAAACAGAACCTTGTCCCCAGGCTCTTGCACAAGTGCATATACAGTGCTGTGAAAAGTATTTGCCCCTTTCTAATTTTCTCTACTTTTGCATATATTTGATACTGAATGTTATCAGATCTTCAACCAAAACCTATATTAGATCAAGGGAACCTGAGTGAACAAATAACACAAAAATGACATACTTATTTCATTTATTTCATAAACAAAGTTATTATTTTGACTCATCTGTCCATAGAACATTCTTCCAAGAGTCTTGATGATAATCCAGGTGCTTCCAGGTTCTTTTTGGCAAACTGAAGTCAACTTTTTGGACGAGATGGGTCCCATTATGTCTGGCGAAAACCAAACACAGCATTCCACAGTAAGAACCTCATACCAACGGTAAAGCATGGTGGTGGTAGTGTGATGGTTTGGGGATGCTTTGCTGCCTCAGGACCTGGACGACTTGCCTTAATAGAAGGAACCATGAATTCTGCTCTGTATCAGATAATTCTACAGAATATCAGGCCATCCGTCTGTGAGCTGAAGCTGAAGTGCAGCTGGGTCATGCAGCAAGACAATGATCCAAAACACACAATCAAGTCTACATGAAAATGGTTAAAAAGCAACACATTTGAAGTTTTGGAATGGCCTAGTCAAAGTCCAGACCTAATGCCAATTGAGATGCTGTGGCAGGACTTGAAACGAGCAGTTGATGCTTGAAAATCCACAAACATCTCTGAGTTAAATCAGTTCTGCATGCAAGAGTGGGCCAAAATACCACCACAGTGATGAAAGAGACTGACCAAATCAAATCAGATTTTATTTGTCACATGCGCCGAATACAACAGGTGTAGACCTTACAGTGAAATGCTTACTTACAAGCCCTTAACCAACAATGCAGTTTTACGAAAGAATACCAACAAAAAATAGAATATAAAATAATACGAAATAAAAGTAACAAATAATTAAAGAGCAGCAAGAAAAATAACAATAGCGAGGCTATATACAGGGGGTACCAGTACCGAGTCAATGTGCGGGGGCACCGGTTAGTCGAGGTAATTGAGGTAATATGTACAGTGGGGAAAAAAAGTATTTAGTCAGCCACCAATTGTGCAAGTTCTCCCACTTAAAAAGATGAGAGAGGCCTGTAACTTTCATCATAGGTACACGTCAACTATGACAGACAAAATGAGAAAACAAAATCCAGAAAATCACATTGTAGGATTTTAATGAATTTTTTTGCAAATTATGGTGGAAAATAAGTATTTGGTCAATAACAAAAGTTTCTCAATACTTTGTTATATACCCTTTGTTGGCAATGACACAGGTCAAACGTTTTCTGTAAGTCTTCACAAGGTTTTCACACACTGTTGCTGGTATTTTGGCCCATTCCTCCATGCAGATCTCCTCTAGAGCAGTGATGTTTTGGGGCTGTCGCTGGGCAACACGGACTTTCAACTCCCTCCAAAGATTTTCTATGGGGTTGAGATCTGGAGACTGGCTAGGCCACTCCAGGACTTTGAAATGCTTCTTACGAAGCCACTCCTTCGTTGCCCGGGCGGTGTGTTTGGGATCATTGTCATGCTGAAAGACCCAGCCACTTTTCATCTTCAATGCCCTTGCTGATGGAAGGAGGTTTTCACTCAAAATCTCACGATACATGGCCCCATTCATTCTTTCCTTTACACGGATCAGTCGTCCTGGTCCCTTTGCAGAAAAACAGCCCGAAAGCATGATGTTTCCACCCCCATGCTTCACAGTAGGTATGGTGTTCTTTGGATGCAACTCAGCATTCTTTGTCCTCCAAACACGACGAGTTGAGTTTTTACCAAAAAGTTTTTTGGGTTTCATCTGACCATATGACATTCTCCCAATCCTCTTCTGGATCATCCAAATGCACTCTAGCAAACTTCAGACGGGCCTGGACATGTACTGGCTTAAGCAGAGGGACACGTCTGGCACTGCAGGATTTGAGTCCCTGGCGGCGTAGTGTGTTACTGATGGTAGGCTTTGTTACTTTGGTCCCAGCTCTCTGCAGGTCATTCACTAGGTCCCCCCGTGTGGTTCTGGGATTTTTGCTCACCGTTCTTGTGATCATTTTGACCCCACGGGGTGAGATCTTGCGTGGAGCCCCAGATCGAGGGAGATTATCAGTGGTCTTGTATGTCTTCCATTTCCTAATAATTGCTCCCACAGTTGATTTCTTCAAACCAAGCTGCTTACCTATTGCAGATTCAGTCTTCCCAGCCTGGTGCAGGTCTACAATTTTGTTTCTGGTGTCCTTTGACAGCTCTTTGGTCTTGGCCATAGTGGCGTTTGGAGTGTGACTGTTTGAGGTTGTGGACAGGTGTCTTTTATACTGATAACAAGTTCAAACAGGTGCCATTAATACAGGTAACGAGTGGAGGACAGAGGAGCCTCTTAAAGAAGAAGTTACAGGTCTGTGAGAGCCAGAAATCTTGCTTGTTTGTAGGTGACCAAATACTTATTTTCCACCATAATTTGCAAATAAATTCATTAAAAATCCTACAATGTGATTTTCTGGATTTTTTTTCTCTCAATTTGTCTGTCATAGTTGACGTGTACCTATGATGATCTCTCTCATCTTTTTAAGTGGGAGAACTTGCAGAATTGGTGGCTGACTATATACTTTTTTTCCCCACTGTACATACATTTTACATTTACATTTTAGTCATTTAGCAGACGCTCTTATCCAGAGCGACTTACAGGAGCAATTAGGGTTAAGTGCCTTGCTTAAGGGCACATCGACAGATTTTTCACCTAGTCAGCTCGGGGATTAGAACCAGCGACCTTTCGGTTACTGGCACAACGCTCTTACCCACTAAGCTACCTGCCGCCCATGTAGGTAGAGTTATTAAAGTGACTATGCATAGATAATAAACAGAGAGTAGCAGCAGCGTAAAAGAGGGGGGGGGGGGGGGGGGGGGGGGGGTAGCCATTTGATTAGACCAGGGGTGTCAAACGTACGGCCCGCGGGCCGAATCAGGCCCGCAAACGGGTTTAATCCGGCCCGCGAGATGATTTAAAAAAAAAAAAAAAAAAAAAAAACATGTTGGAAAGTATAAAAATGCGCTGCAATTTTTCAATAAAATAAACTGCTGTTCCAATTGCGTCCACTGGATGGCGCAATAGCAATTGTGTTAAGCAAGCAAACTGTTTATACCGGGGCAGAGCAAGTAGGTCAAGCACGTGCAGCCAATGAGCTACTTTGTTTTGCCCGCGATATTTATTACGGCTTCTACTTTTAACATTATGTGCTTTGGCACCCTCATTGCCCCAATATGTCTCTGTCAAAAAAGAGAAAAGTGGACGCAGAGTGCAGAGTGTTCCAAGAAAAATGGTCATCCTATTTCATCGCGGAATTGAATGGGAAAGCTGTATGTTTGGTGTGTTCAGAGCATGTTGCAGTGCTGAAAGAATATAACCTTCGTCGCCACTATGTGAGTCTTCATGCCGACAAATATGACAACTTTCAAGGACAGCGGAGATGAGAGAAGGTGAATGAACTGTTGGCGGGTCTGAAGAAACAGCAGTCTGTGTTTACTCACAGCCGAGACATCAGTGACGCTGCAGTGAAAGCTAGCTACCTCATTGCTAATGAAATCGCAGTGGCTTCAAAACCATTTAGTGAGGGTGAATTTGTAAAAACATGCATGATGAAGGCAGCGGAGATTGTGTGCCCTGAAAAGCGGCAGGCTTTTGCAAATATCAGCCTGACAAGAAACACAGTTGCAGACAGGATTTCCGATCTTTCAGTGGATTTGGACAGCCAGTTGAAGCAAAAAGTAAAGTCATTTATTGCGTTTTCGGTTGCAATTGATGAAAGCACGGACATTACAAATGTTGCACAACTGGCCATTTTTTCATCCGCGGAGTTGATGACACATTGACCGTCACCGAGGAGTTCGTGGAGTTGGTGCCGATGACAGATACAACGACAGCAGCTGATATTTTTACCGCACTCGTCGGCGCGCTGGACAGGGTCGGAGTGGACTGGTCCCGCGCTGTCAGCCTGGCTACAGATGGTGCGCCCTCAATGATCGGGAAAAAAAGCAGGCGTTTGTGACAAAGTTCAGAGAGAAAGTGCAATCTGCAAATGGAGGACGTGATTTTTTGACTTTTCACTGTATTTTGCACCAGGAGGCTTTGTGTTGCAAGTCATTAAAGATGGATAACGTCATGAAGGTGGTCATCCAAACTGTTAATTTCATCCGATCCAGAAGCCTGAATCACCGTCAGTTTGACAGCCTTCTCAGAGAGAAAGACCACATCTATGGCCTGCCATACCACACTGAGGTAAGATGGTTAAGCCGAGGTGCTGTGCTGAGGCGTTTCTTTGATTTACGAGAAGAAATTGAACAGTTCATGGAAGAAAAGGGCAAACCAGTGTTAGAATTTCATTCCGCAGAATGGATGCCGGACCTTGCATTTATGGTGGATGTTACAGAGCACCTGAATAACTTGAACAAACAGCTGCAAGGGCGCAACAAAGTTGTCACGCAGTATTATGACAGCATACATTCTTTCAAGTTGAAGCTGTCATTGTGGGAGACGCAACTTGCCGGTGGTGATGCAGCTCACTTCCCCTGTCTGAAAAATGTGTGCGCGACCCCAACATGTGGCAGACATGAAGCGGTTCAAAGATAAAAATAACGGGACTGTTACGGGAGTTTGAGCAACGCTTTCAGATTTATGTTTATATGTTTTTATGTTGATGTGCTATTGTTTTTAATTGATTTTATTTTATTTGTATATTTAACCTATTCTTGACTCTGTGGTTCTTGCACTTGTTTGGGGAACAGGATTTCATTATTTTTATCTACATTTCTGCCTGAGAAATGACACCCTGATATAGTTCTGTGATCTGTGATATACTTCTGTGAATCACTGAGGCATTGTGTGTTTGTGTGTTCTTTGTCCTCAGAACTTTCAAATAACTTGAGGTGTTTTATGATTAATAGTGATGTTGTGCTTTTGGACACTGTCCTCAGGCTCCAGCTTTATGTTTATATGTTTTTATGTTGATGTGCTATTGTTTTTAATTGTTTTTATTTTATTTGTATATTTAACCTATTCTTGACTCTGTGGTTCTTGCACTTGTTTGGGGAACAGGATTTCATTATTTTTATCTACATTTCTGCCTGAGAAATGACACCCTGATATAGTTCTGTGATCTGTGATATACTTCTGTGAATCACTGAGGCATTGTGTGTTTGTGTGTTCTTTGTCCTCAGAACTTTCAAATAACTTGAGGTGTTTTATGATTAATAGTGATGTTGTGCTTTTGGACACTGTCCTCAGGCTCCAGCTTTATGTTTATATGTTTTTATGTTGATGTGCTATTGTTTTTAATTGATTTTATTTTATTTGTATATTTAACCTATTCTTGACTCTGTGGTTCTTGCACTTGTTTGCGGAACAGGATTTCATTATTTGTATCTACATTTCTGCCTGAGAAATGACACCCTGATATAGTTCTGTGATCTGTGAAACAGTATTGTTAATCACTGAGGCATTGTGTGTTTGTGTGTTCTTTTTCTTTAGAATTTTCAAATAAACTTGACGTGTTTTATGATTAATAGTGATGTTGTGCTTGTACTATTTTGGACACACTGTCCTCAGCCTCCAGCTTTATGTTGTATGTTGATCGTATTAAAACAAAGAAAACAATCTGAAGTTGTTGTTTTTAAGTTATATATACCATGATTTTTCCGGTCCGGCCCACTTGGGAATAGATTTTCCTCCATGTGGCCCCTGAGCTAAAATGAGTTTGACACCCCTGGATTAGATGTTCAGGAGTCTTATGGCTTGGGGGTAGAAGCTGTTTAGAAATCTCTTGGACCTATACTTGGCGCTCCGGTACCACTTGCCATGCGGTAGCAGAGAGAACAGTCTATGACTAGGGTGGCTGGAGTCTTTGACAATTTTTAGGGCCTTCCTCTGACACCGCCTGGTATAGAGGTCCTGGATGTCAGGAAACTTGGCCCCAGAGATGTACTGTGCCTTACGCACTACCCTCTGTAGTGCCTTGCGGTGGGAGACCGAGCAGTTGCCATACCAGGCAGTGATGCAACCAGTCAGAATGCTCTCGATGGTGCAGCTGTAGAACCTTTTGAGTATCTATGGACCCATGCCAAATCTTTTCAGTCTCCTTAGGGGGAATAGGTTTTGTCGTGCCCTCTTCACGACTGTCTTGGTGTGCTTGGACCATGTTAGTGTGTTGGTGATATGCACACCAAGGAACTTGAAGCTCTCAACCTGCTCCACTACAGCCCCGTCGATGAGAATGGGGGCGTGCTTGGTCCTCTTCTTTTTCCTGTAGTCCACAATCATCTCCTTTGTCTTGATCACGTTGAGGGAGAGGTTGCTGTCCTGGCACCACACGGCCAGGTCTCTGACCTCCTCCCTATAGGCTGTCTTGTCGTTGTCGGTGATCAGGCCTACCACTGTTGTGTCATCAACAAACTTAAATGATGGTGTTGGAGTCGTGCCTGGCCATGCAGTCATGAGTGAACAGGGAGTACAGGAAGGGACTGAGCACACACCCCTGAGGGGCCCCCGTGTTGAGGATCAGCGTGGCGGATGTGTTGTTACCTACCCTTACCACCTGGGGGCGGCCCGTCAGGAAGTCCAGGATCCAGTTGCAGAGGGAGGTGCTACAGGAAGCATTTGGTTGGAGTCATTGCAGCTAAAGGTGACACAACCAGTTATTGAGTGTAAGGGGGCAATTACTTTTTCACACAGGGGAATTGGGTGTTGCATAACTGTGTTAATTAAATAAATAAAATAAGTATTTTTTATCTAATATTAGGCTTTGGTTGAATATCTGATAACATTCAGTATCAAAAATAGAGAAAATCAGAAAGGGGGCAAATACTTTTTCACGGCACTGTACACCTGGTACTAGGCACGTGCACAGATAGAGCTCTAGGGGTGCATGAGAAAAGTGCCCTTTCAGATACATTTTTATTTTACTTTTAGTCTCTTCTGTTCTGTAAAATATTGCCCATCAAACGAGCGAATTTCATATTTTTGACTCTTAAAATCCCCCCTGCCCCGCTCCTCTGCCCACAGGCGAGTGCGCACTGCACTCACCCTCCTGCTGCTGCACAAGCAGAAGTTACCAGAGCCTAGCGGTATTATGAGTAGAGGCACACTGGCTACTTTTTGAGTTGTCAGGGACAGGGAAGGGTTCAATTCAAACTGATGATTTTTAAGTAGGCGTACAACGCAGATGTTTTTAAGTAGGCATACAACGCAGATGTTTTTAAGTAGGCGTACAACGCAGATGTTTTTAAGTAGGCGTACAACGCAGATGTTTTTAAGTAGGCGTACAACGCAGATGTTTTTAAGTAGGCGTACAATGGAGATGTTTTTAAGTAGGCGCACAACGCAGATGTTTTTAAGTAGGCGTACAACGCAGATGTTTTTAAGTAGGCGTACAACGCAGATGTTAGCAGCAGAACAAACTTTAATCACAGGTAAAGAGTAGTTCAATTGTTACAACAGCACAGCTAACCGTTAGCTAGCTAAGTTAGCTGATTTACATGATCTACATTCGCTATGATCAGCTGATTGCTCTCCCCTATTTGCCCTCTCTGTGAGCAGTATGCTAGGTAGCTTGCTTAGAGTGGGGTGAGTGTTTTTACGGAAAACAAAGGCCTATGGCAGGGTTCCCCAACTGGCAGGCCGCAGGTGATTTTATTTGGCCCCCAAAGTTTTGTGAGCAAAATAAATAAATCCATTTATTTTTTATTGTTGGACATAAAAGACTAAAAACACCACCAAATCAGCTCCAAGTGATTATAATTTTGGAGATTTGTTCCAAAGTATTCCCACGCATAATAGAGAGATATACAGTGGGGAGAACAAGTATTTGATACACTGCCGATTTTGCAGGTTTTCCTACTTACAAAGCATGTAGAGGTCTGTAATTTTTATCATAGGCACACTTCAACTGTGAGAGACGGAATCTAAAACAAAAATCCAGAAAATCATTAATTTTAAAAATTATACAATGTGATTTTCTGGATTTTTGTTTTAGATTCCGTCTAAAACATATAAGCAAGATTGTAAATAATTTTGTTTCAGTCAAGTATTATATCTGTTTGGTCTTCTTGCGGCCATTTTGCAGTCTGCAAATGATTTGTAATTATGTCCTGGCCCCCTGACCATCCACTCAAGAAAAAAATTGGCCAGTGGCTGAATCTAGTTGATGATCCCTGGTCTATCGGTTGGGGTGGGGGTTCACTTTGAGCACCTGGCCCTACCTGGTACACCAACCACTCAATTCTCCCACTGTTACCAAGTGGGTTAATCAAATCGTCTTTTGAAGCTGCGTTATGCCAGCAGCAACTTGTATGGCTTGAAAACAATAGAAGAGTTGGCTACAGCATATAGAGTATGGGACCAGGTTAGGGATAAGCTAGGAACAAGCTGTTTCTTAATAACATCACAGTTGAACGAAAAGTAATGCGACCAAAGGAAGATTCCCTTACTTGCGACAGTCACTGAAGATCTCCTTGCAGGGGTGGAGCTCCAGGTTCTCTCTACACTGCTCAGCAAGGCTCTCTGCTGCCTCCACACACTCTGACGACTACACACACACACACAAGAGCACACATAAGCACGCACACACACAAGTACACACAAACAAACAATCTAACAGCTGTACATCTACATTCATCAATCCTCCTTTAAAGACTGACTCACCTGTTTAGACAGGAACTTCCCAATAATCTGATCTCCTCTGCTTTTCCGTTTCTCATCAGGCACCAGCTCATAGTCGTCCTAAAGAACACAACATCCCATCATTAAACGCTGACAGTACATATCAGACCTGGTTCAACACAACATCCCATCATTAAACACTGACAGTACATATCAGACCTGGTTCAACACAACATCCCATCATTAAACGCTGACAGTACATATCAGACCTGGTTCAACACAACATCCCATCATTAAACACTGACAGTACATATCAGACCTGGTTCAACACAACATCCCATCATTAAACACTGACAGTACATATCAGACCTGGTTCAACACAACATCCCATCATTAAACACTGACAGTACATATCAGACCTGGTTCAACACAACATCCCATCATTAAACACTGACAGTACATATCAGACCTGGTTCAACACAACATCCCATCATTAAACACTGACAGTACATATCAGACCTGGTTCAACACAACATCCCATCATTAAACACTGACAGTACATATCAGACCTGGTTCAACACAACATCCCATTATTAAACACTGACAGTACATACAGTGCATTCGGAAAGTATTTAGACCCCTTAACTTTTTCTACATTGTTGTTACGTTACAGCCTTACTCTAAAATAAAAAAAAGAATCATAATAATCTCATCAATCTACACACAATACCCCATAATGACAAAGCGAAAACAGGTTTTTAGAAATGTGTGCAAATTTATACAAAATAAAAACAGAAATACCTTATTTACATAGGTATTCAGACCCTTTGCTATGAGACTCGAAATTGAGCTCAGTTGCATTCTGTTTCCATTGATCATCCTTGAGATTGTCACGCCCTGGCTCTAGGGACTCTTTTATGTTGAGCCAGGGTGTGTAGAGTCTATGTTTTGTGTTCATTGTTTCAGTTTCTAGTTCATGTGTTTCTATGTTGGCCGGGGTGGTTCTCAATCAGAGGCAACGTGAATCAGCTGTTGCTTGTTGTCTCTGATTGGGAACTATACTTAGGCAGCCGTTTGGCACTTGTGTTTTGTGGGATCTTGTTCCGTGTTGGTTTGTGTATTTGACCGTGGACTTCACGTATCGTTTTGTTGTTTTTGTTCGTGTGGTGAATATAAATAAAGTATGTTCGCATTCCACGCTGCGCCTTGGTCCGCTCCTTTTGACGAACGTGACAGAAGATCCCACCATAACAGGACCAAGCAGCGTGTCCAGGAGCAGACAGCCTGGACTTGGGAGGAGATATTGGACGGGAAAGGGTCCTGGACTTGGGAGGAGATCCAGGCCGGTATGGATCGCCGTCCGTGGGAGGAGACGGTGGAGGCGCGCCGTAGAGAGGAGCAGCGGCGCCAACCGGGCCGACGTCGGACACGCAAGAGGCAACCCCAAGACATTTTTAGGGGGGGGCACACGGCATGGACGACGGGGCTGCTGGAGGCAGCTACAGGGCGAGTTTGGGGATTAGGAGAGGAGGCCACCGGGTTTGGGGGGCCGGAAGGGAGGTTGGCGGAGCCTAGAGGTAGAGCAGAGCCAACTCCCCGTACTCAGGCTAGGCAGCGTGAGACTGGGCAGGTTCCGAGATATGCGGAGCTGCGTACTGTGCCGCGAGTGGTCCGGCACAGTCCGGTACGTCCTGTGCGAGCACCACGCACGTGTTGTGCTAAGGTGGGCAGGCAGCCAGGACGGAGTGTGCCGGCTCAACGCTCGTGGCCTCCAGTACCCCTCCTCGGTCCCGGATATCCTGCGCCAGTGTCACGTGCTGTTGTGCCAGTACGTGTACACAGCCCTGTACGTCCTGTGCTGATGCCTTACACAGAGTGTGTTAAGATAGGCATTCAGCCAGGACGGGTTGTGTCAGCTCTTCGCTCCAGACCTCCAGTCCGTCTCCACAGCCCGGTCCGGCCTGTTCCTGCCCCTCGCACCAAGCCAATGGTGCGCGTCGCCAGCCCGGTCCGGCCTGTTCCTGCCCCTCGCACCAAGCCAATGGTGCGCGTCGCCAGCCCGGTCCGGCCTGTTCCTGCCCCTCGCACCAAGCCAATGGTGCGCGTCGCCAGCCCGGCCCGGCCTGTTCCTGCTCCCCGCACCAAGCCAATGGTTGCGCGTTGCCAGCCCGGCCCGGCCTGTTCCTGCCCCTCGCACCAAGCCAGTGGTGCGCTTCGTCAGCCCGGCCCAGCCCGTTCCTGCTCCCCGCACCAAGCCAGTGGTGCGCTTCGTCAGCCCGGCCCGGCCCGTTCCTGCTCCCCGCACCAAGCCTGTGGTGCGCATCGCCAGCCCGGTCCGGCCCGTTCCTGCTCCCCGCACCAAGCCAGGGGTGCGTGTCGTCAGCCCGGTCCGGCCCATTCCTGCTCCCCGCACCAAGCCTGTGGTGCGCGTCGTCAGTCCGGCACAGCCCGTGCCCGTTTCACCGGTGCCTGGTCAGGTACGAGGGAAAGATGAACGGAGCAAAGTACAGAGAGATCCTTGATGAAAGCCTGCTCTAGGACCTCAGACGGGCGAAGGTTCACCTTCCAACAGGACAACGTCCCTAAGCCCACAGCCAAGACAATGCTGGAGTGGCTTTGAGACAAATCTCTGAATGTCCTTGAGTGACCCAGTCAGAGCCCGGACTTGAACCTGATCGAACATCTCTGGAGAGACCTGAAAATAGCTGTGCAGCGACGCTCCCTATCGAACCTGACACGAGCTTGAGAGGATCTGCAGAGAAGAATGGGAGAAACTCGAGACTGTAATCGCTGCCAAAGGTGCTTCAACAAAGTACTGAGTAAAGGGTCTGAATACTTATGTAAATGTGATATTTCCATGGGTTATTTAAATATACATTTACAAAAAAATCTAAAAACCTGTTTTTGATTTGTCATTATGGGGTATTGTGTGTAGATTGATGATGGAAAAAAACAATTTTATCCATTTTAGAATTAGGCTGTAACGTAACAAAATGTGGAAAAAGTCAAGGGGTCTGAATATTTTCCGAATGCACTGTATCAGACCTGGTTCCAAATAATATAAATTTCCTTTGAAATACGTCATGCACTACCGATTTATCTTGGCCAGCATAATGCAACCAATGGAATAGTCCCAAAAGTGCAAACCAAATCCAACTGGCATGCTGGGTAAAGTAATCTAAGCAACTGTAGTATTTGAAAGAAAACAAAATACTATTTAGACCGAGGTCTGACTGGTACATTCAATAATATTCCATAATCAGGGGCAAAGTATGGACGAGACCATGTTTTGAATGATAGACATTATTGTGTTGCTATCAGTATTCTGCAAACATGCAACATGCGACTAGACCGTGTGGACTGCATTGACTTGAAATGATCAGTCATTATCTATACCTTTAGCAGCTCGGGTATAGGAGAGGGAGAAGTGTATTGTTTGTGTAGTGTGACAAGGTGAAAACTGTACTTTGTTGTGAGTACTAATTATGCATTTAATTGTTAAATGCATTTACTTTGTTTAATGTAAAGGGAAAGGAAAGGGGGATACCTAGTCAGTTGTACAACTGAATGCATTCAACTGAAATGTGTCTTCCACATTTAACCCAACCCCTCTGAATCAAACTTGTGCTTTGTGCACAGCACACATTCTTGATATTGTGTCTTCTAAGCCCATACGGCACCAAAGGTGTATACAGATGGAGAAATTCAGATATGATGTCATTGTTTTAACACTATAAAAATAAATGAAGAGAGTCGCACACTATATAAAAAAACTCCCAGTAATTTATTGGGTAAAACACCAATAAATAATTGTTTTAGTTTTAAACTATCGCAAGCAACATGGTTCAATGTGCAAGTAAATCAGCACAATCTACTTTTTCGTTTTTTTCGAATTGCCGCTGTCTTGGAGCTAGAATTGGAATCATGTATACTGCGCTAATGCCCATACAAAAAAAGAGTAACGGAGAGCAATGTACAATATGGAGAACTGAGCGAACGAGGCGCTTGTAGTAAGTACATGGGGACCGCCATCTTTATGCACCTTCGCCATTGGTGTACAACAATCAATCAATGATATATCAGCCATGAGTGTGAGAGCATCGAGTGTGGTTCAGCATTGCTAGGGCTGGGGGATAGTCTCGAGGTGAGTAGGTCTGCTGATCTGGGCATCTGTGATAATCCTTCACTGCCTGATCATTCTCTCCCCTCTCAATCCCCATTACGCAAGACTCTTCACTAACCCACCTGCCCTGAAACACACACACAAACACCTCTTTAACCCACAATCTGTTATTAACAGACACTCTCTATACTCCATATGTGACCCTGCGTTGCCTGGCAACCACATAGTCAACACGGCAGGATTCCGTGAGGTCCTGGAGTGTCACAGTGTGTCAGACCAGCATCACCAGCTTTCCAACACACACACACACACTTCTAGAGTTTCTCTCCTGACCCGGGCTGTGGCACACTCTAGAGTGATCTACTCTGCTCTGAGACACAGACAGAGAGAGAAACAGAGCTATGGAAAGAAACAGAGAGAGAGAAACAGAGCTATGGAAAGAAACACAGAGAGAGAAACAGAGCTATAGAAAGAAACAGAGAGAGAGAAACAGAGCTATAGAAAGAAACAGAGAGAGAGAAACAGAGCTATAGAAAGAAACACAGAGAGAGAAACAGAGCTATAGAAAGAAACAGAGAGAGAGAGAAACAGAGCTATAGAAAGAAACAGAGAGAGAAACAGAGCTATGGAAAGAAACACAGAGAGAGAAACAGAGCTATGGAAAGAAACACAGAGAGAGAAACAGAGTTATAGAAAGAAACAGAGAGAGAGAAACAGAGCTATAGAAAGAAACAGAGAGAGAGAAACAGAGCTATAGAAAGAAACAGAGAGAGAGAAACAGAGCTATGGAAAGAAAGGCATGGGGTGAAAAGGCCAGACTTCTGCGATTAGATCTGTTCCTCTGACCTTTGTGGTGTGTGTGTGTGTGTGTGTGTGTGTGTGTGTGTGTGTGTGTGTGTGTGTGTGTGTGTGTATACACAAGTCTGCCAAAAAGCCAAGGGGGCGTCTCCATTTCCCTTCAGCTAACCCCTAGGGGTAACAATTGGGAAGCTCATTCTGTGTGCGTGTGTGTGTGTGTAGTTGTGTGTGTAGTTGTGTGTGTGTGTGTGTGTGACAACGCATACAGAGTTTTGCCAACAATAGCCAATCATAATTCGCCAGCAATCACACATACCCCCCTCCCTCCCTCTGCACTGACGTCAGAGGAACCACAGGGACCCCAGGCACATTCCTTCCTTCCTTCCCTCTCTCTCTCTCTCTCTTTTTTCCCTAGCTTATACAGTATAGGCACATGGACACACTCTCTCTGTTTCTCTATAAAAAAATATGACCCCACAAGATATCTGATTTCATTGTCTCTTCTTTCTCATAACATTGTGTTTTTATTTTAGATCTAGTGTGTGTGACTACAAAAATGCATGTCTGCTGCTGCCCCATTATTTTGTGTGCGCGAGGGTAGTTTCCCTCAGAGCGTGATGGTCCTTTTTAGGTTGATGGGAAGGGGTAGGGGGGGGTCTGACCAGAAACAATCCTCTCATCCAGTCACATGGTCCTGGGGAGGCTGCTGGCCATTGTTGATATTGGGTTTGGATGGTTTCTTCTCTACAATCTAAAACCTGTCATCTGAGACACATTGTGTCACTGAATAAAGGGGAGGCTGTTAGTATAATCACTACTCAATTTGATTGTCTTCTCTCAGTCAACTGAACATGATTAGTACTTTTTTGAGATAGTGTTTAATCCAAGTGAGTGCATTTAAAAGTGTGTGTGTTTTTGTGTGTGTGTGTGTGTTACCATGGCGTCCAGTAGGTGGATGCATCGCAGCAATTCAGGTCTGGTCTCACAGTAGAGGCGGAACAGCAGTCTGCCGATGGGCTGCTTCTCACACAGGCTCATGTAGTCCCGATCTGCCAGAAACACACACACACACACACACACACAACACACACACACACACACACACACACACACAGAGACAGACAGACAGACAGACAGACAGACAGACAGACAGACAGACAGACAGGCAGACACAAAAACAAAGACACAAAAACACACACAGACACTAGTATAAAAATTTGGATAGACCTAGGCACGTTTACAAACACTGACAACACACCAGTAAGGTGGCACGCAAGTTATACTTGCAAAAACACACACAGACGCAGACACAGTAATGTACCGATGCTGTTGCCCAGCTCAGTGCACTGGCTGATGTGGGGGAAGCGGAGGATCTCCTTCCATTTCTTACTCCTGCCTTTCCGCTTCCCTCCTCCACCTGCGGAAAGAGAGGAGAGAAGGGAGGAGGGGGACAATCAACTACAATACCAACAACTGAGGATCTGTGCTTACACACACTCACACACACACACACACACACGCACACGCACTAACAACTGAGGATCTGTGCTTACACACACACCAACAACTGATATGTTCTACGCTGAGGCACACACACAGTTTCTGAGGGCACAAACACACACTATTAGTTTCAGTATGGGAGAATGAGAGAAAAAGATAGAGAGCTCTGCAACTGACAAATGAGTGCAGCTCAGGGCCCTGAATTAACTCATAGGCATTGTGATTATGTATCATTTATACATTACATCTCACTTCCTCTCCAAATCCCTTTTCTCTCTTTCTTTTGCTCTCTCCGTTTTATTTTCTTCCTCTGTGTAACGCTCCGGGGAATGTGGCCATCCCGAGGCAGAACAGTGTATGTGTGTGTGTTTAACAGAGAATACAATCCCAGCCAGTCAGATTCCCGTCGGAACATAGAGCTTGGCCAAAGCAGATTCCATCACTAAATAACCCTGAATATGCTTCCAGCATAGGGCTCTCTCACACACACACGCATCAACATCAGATGATAAACCATGTTTGCTACTGAAAATGGTGCTAATGTTCACTAGGTTTGCCCTTCCCTGTCTCACACTCACATTGTTTGGGATAGTCTGGCATGAGAGTGATGGAGAGGGATGGAGAGAGAGAGAGAGAGAGAGAGAGAGAGAGAGAGAGAGAGAGAGAGAGAGAGAGAGAGAGAGAGAGACAGAGAGACAGAGAGACAGAGAGACAGAGAGACAGAGTGGTAGAGGAGAGAGCGAGGGCTACAGACAGACGGACATCTTTAAGCAATAATCCAGGAACGCTCCAACAAGTATGTAATGTGTTAACCACTCACTGTGTGTAAACGCTTTAGCAGCTTTCACATCCTTTCCTAACCCCCCCAACTCTTTCTTGCACACCGACTGCTGCCACAGACCCTCCCCTCAAGCCTCAGTCTAACCTGGGTTAAACAATGGGCCTCCCTCCTCCCCTCATTCAACCTCACTGAACTGACATTGACTTGATAGGTGAAAGCTATGTAGTGGAACCGTTGCGGAGGTAAGCCTTTCAGGCAACACATGCCCTGACCAGGAAAAACTGAGAGGCTATAACTAGGAGCCAGAGATTTTCCTGGTTGGGTCACATGGTCTCCAACGATGGAATATAATGGAGATGTAACTCCAACAAGTCAACAGGTGTAACTAGTGAATTATTAACCCTGATCTTATACATCCTAAAATAACTATTGGGCCTTAGCAACAGTAACTATGACATTCTTACCCCAGCGCACTTCCCTAGCTACATTCACACATCTTCTCAGAGAACAGAAATACGACACTTTATGATTCAATGGGGAAAATGAATTAATAAGTGACAGACAGGTGAGACGCAGTCAGGCTTATCAGAAAGCTGGGCTGGTTAGAGCAAGAGACTATGGTGGACATCATCTCATATATGGTAAACATATGGTCTACGAGGCTCATAACTGAAAGAGGCCCATCAAATAGAGAATTACAACATGTCTGATTCTCTCCCCTTCTCCACAGTGTTTTCTCGTTCATTCCCTTCATGGATTTACAATGAATAGACAACGGTTCCACTACATAGCTTTCACCTATCAAGTCAATGTCAGTTCAGTGAGGTTGAAGGAGGGGAGGAGGGAGGCCCATTGTGTAAGAAAGACAGTCCATTACATCAATACACCATTTAAAAATCCCTAACCACGTTTCCATCCACAGTTTTTATGTGAGTAAAGTCATACTGTATAAAAAATAATCACGACAGCTGTGATGGAAACAGGTCGTTTCAGTACAATTCTATCAAATACCATAAGATAATTTGTTCGTTCAACATAGTGGGATCTTTTTGTGTCAGTAAAATGTAATCTGCAAGAAATGGTGGGGGAAATGCCTTTATGTGTAAATGTAGATATAGTAACCATCATATCAAAGTAAACTTGGAGTCACGCGATGATATGGTGTGTGGTCCTCCTCCCACTATGACTTGGGAAACCATGCAGTTTATTAGGCTACAGATTAAATAAATTATGAACTTCACAGGGTGGTGAAAGTGCAGGGTGATCTTGATGCTCCTTTCTAATAAATATCGAGGGTCTTATTCTGGTGACATGATGATTGACGCTTGACTGACAAATACTAATATTCTCGCTCTTATCCATCATCGTGTAGGCCACCCTACCCGCAGAGCCTACCCACACTCAATCTGCCAGCTGTTGGCTACAGTGCATGCGCCAAGACCAGAGTAGGCACATTTGCTATTTAACGCAACAGTTTTTCTGACAAAACTATCGTTAGAGTTGAAAATGCGATGGAAACACATTGAATTTTAGATTTTTATTTGGTCTCTCCTTTCCTCTCTCGGTGGTATCACTTCCTCTCTCGGTCTCTCTCCCTCCTCTCTCTTCTCGGTCTCTTCGTCCCTCCTCTCTCAGGGCTCGGGTCCATCTCTCCCTTCCTCTTCCGGTCGCTCTGTTCTCCTTCCTCTCCTTTCTCTGGGAGCTTCCCTTCCTTCCCCTCAGACTCTCCCTTCCGCTCTCGGTCTCTCATCTCTCCCGTCTCCTCTCCTCTCCCTTCCGCGCTCTCTCATCCTCTCCCTTCCTCCTCAGACCTCTTCTCTCTCCCTTCCTCCAGACCTCCCTCCCCTTCCTCTCAACTCTCCTTCCTCTCTTCGTCTCCGCCCTTCCTCTCTCGGTCTCCCTGGGTTTCCCTCGGGATCAATCTCCCTTCCTCTCACTAGGTCTCCGCGCCCTCAACCCCGCCTTTCCTCTCGGCACTCTCTCTTTCAGGTCCCTCACCCCTTCCTCTCCCGTATCTCAGCCCTTATCCCTTCTCTTTCGCCTCTTCCTCTCTCCTTCTCTTGCCCTTCCTCTCTCGGTCTCTCTCTCCCCCTTCCTCTCTCGTTCTCTCCCTTCCTCTTCTCTGTGGTCTCGTGAATCACGAGCTTTCCATCTCTGGCGGGTCTCTCCCTTCGTGCCCTTCCTCGTCGTCCGGTCTCTTTCACGTTCCGTCCCGTCCGCTCAGACGCTCCCTGCCGCCGCGCAGCGCTTCCTCCCTTCCTGTCGACCTCTCCTCTCGCCCGGCCCGGGCAGACGCCCCTTCCTCTCCCGACGCTCCCTGCCTCTCTCAGATCTCTCTCCCCTTCCTCTCTCAGTCTGCTCCCTTCCTCTCTCAGTCTCTCCCCCGTCCGCTCTCAGTCTCTCCCTTCTCTCTCAGTCTCTCCCTTCCTCGCTCAGTCCGCTCCCCTTCCTCCCTCTCCTCTCCCTCCGCTCGTCAGTCCTCGCCCGTCCGCTCTGTCCTCCTCCATCGCCTCCTCTCAGACCTCTCCCTTCCTCGCATACTCTCCCTTCCTCTCGTCTCTCTCCCTTCGCTCTCTCAGGTCTCCTCCCTCCTCTCTCGTCTCGAGCGCCTTCCTCTCTCGGTCCTCGTTCTCGCCTTCCTCTTCAACCTCCTCGTTCCTCTCCTTCCCTTCCTCTCTCATCTCTCTGCCCTTCCTCTCTCAGTCCTCCCTTCCCCTCCCTCTCCTCTCTCACTCCTCTCCCCGGTTCTCTACTCAGTCTCCATTTCCCCCACCCAAACCCCTTTTACCTTCCCCCTTCCTCTCTCAGTCTCCCCCTTCCTCTCTCAGCCCGCCCCCTTCCTCTCAGGCTCCTCCCTGCCGGTCAGCTCTCCCGTACTCCTCGGCGCCCTCCCTTCCGCGCCTCTCGGGCTCATCTCTCCCTCGCCTCTCATCCTCGTCGCTCTCCCTTCCTCCTTTCTCTCCTCTCTCCCCCTCCTCTCCTTCCTCTCTCGTCGCTCTCCCTCTCTCTCATCTCTCTCCCCTTCCTCTCTGTCTCTCCGTCACTCCCTTCCTCCTCAGAGACTCTCCCTTCCTCGCAGTCCTCTCCCTCCTCTCAGACTCTCCCTTCCTCTCTCAGCAACTCTCCCTCCTCTCTCATTCGCCCCCCTTTCTCTCTCATCTCTCCTCCCTTCCTACCTATCGCTCGATCCCTTCCTCTCAAGCCTCTCCTTCCTCTCAGACTCTCCATTCCGCTCAGACTCTCCCTTCCTCTCTCGTCGCTCCCTTCCTCTACTCGTCTCTCCTCCCTTCCTCTCTCCGGTCTCTCCCTCCTTCCTTCTCACTCGGTCTCTCCCTTCCTCGTCTCAGTCTCTCCCTTCCTCTCCGTCCGCTCCCTTCCTCTCCCGCGCTCCCTTCCCCTCAGACTTCTCCCTTCCTCCTCCTCGGTCTCTCAGTCTCTTCCCTTCCTCCCTCTCCTCCCCTTCCTCGCTAGTCTCTCTCTCCCTTTCCTCTCAGACTCTCCCCTCCTCTCAACTCTCCCTTCCTCTCTCGTCTCGCCTTCCTCTCTCGTTCTCTCCTTCCGCTCCTCGTCTCCCTCCCTTCCTCTCTCTCTCTCTCCTCCTCTCTCTCTTCCCTTCCCTCGGGTCTCTCAATTCCTCTCTCTCGGTCTCTCCATTCCTCTCTCGTCGCTTCCCTTCCTCCTCTCTCTCTCGCCCTTCCTCTTCTCTCTTCCCTTTCCTCTCTCTCGCTCCCTTCCTCTCGCAGTATCTCCCTTTCCTCTCTCTTCTCTCCCTTCCTCTCTCAGTCTCTCCCTTCCTCTCCGGTCTCCCTCCCTTCCTCTCTTCTCCCGTCGCTCCCGTCCTCTCAGACTCTCTCCCTTCTCTCAGACTCTCCCTTCCTCTGTGTCCGGTCTCTGCCCTTCCTCTGTCGGTCTCTCCCTTCCTCTCTTCGGTCTCTCTTCTCCCTTCCTCCTCGTCTCTCCCTTCCTCTCTCGTCTCGTCCCTTTCTCTCTCCGGTCCCTCTCCCTTCCTCTCTCGCTCTCCCTTCCTCCTCCCGTCGCTCCCTTCCCTCTGTCTCTCCTTTCCGCTCAGACCTCTCCCTTCCCATCTCGGTCGCTCCCTCCTCTCTCGGTCTCTCTCCTTCCTCCTTCGCTCTCTCGGGCTTTCCTCCCTCTCTCTCCCTTCCTCTCTGTCTCTCCGTCGCTCCCTTCCTCTCAGACTCTCCCTTCCTCTCAGACTCTCCCTTCCTCTCTCGGTCTCTCCCTTCCTCTCTCAGTCCTCTCCCGTCCTCTCGTCGCACCCTTCCTCTCCGTCGCGCCCCTTTCCTCTCCGTCGCTCCCTCCCCTCAGCCTCCCCTTCCGCTCCCTTCCCCCTCTCTCTCCCTTCCTCTCTCACCTCTCCCCCCCCCCCCCCCTCCCTTCCTCTCAAGACTCCCCTTCCTCTCAGACTCTCAGACTCGTCCCTTCCTCTCCTCCCCCGTTCTCCCTTCCTCCGCCTCTCTCTCCCCTTCCTCTCTGGCTCTCCGTCGCTTCCACTCCCCTTCCTCTCACTCTTCCCCTCCTCTCAGACTCTCCCCTTCCTCTCTCGTCTCTCCCTTCCTCTCCATCGCTCCCTTCCTCTTTTCCGTCGCTGCCCCTTCCTCTCCGTCGCTCCCGCCTCTCCGTCGCTCTCCCTTCCCCTCAGACTCCCCGTCCTCTCCCTCCTCCCTCTCTCTCCTCCCTCCCTCTCTTCAGCCTCAGTCTCATCCTCTCCCTTCCTCTCAGACTCTCCCTTCCTCTCAGACTCTCAGACGCTCCCTTCCCCTCTCGTTCTCCTCTCTCTGCCCTTCCTCTCTCGGTCTCTCCTCCTCTCTCTCTCTCTCCCTTCCTCTCTCTCTCTCTCTCTCTCTCCCTTGCCCTCTCTCTCTCTCCCTTCCTCTCTCTCAAAAGATCCTCCCTTCCTCTCTCGTCTCTCCCTTCCTCCTCTCGGGCTTCCTCCCTCCTCTCTCTCTCTCCCTTCTGTCTCTCTCAGTTCGTCTCCTCCCTGTCCCGGCTCTCTCGATCTCTCCCTCTCTCTCAGTCTCCTCCCTTCCTCTCTCGGTCGCTCCCTTCCTCTCTGTCTCTCGACTCTTCCCTTCCTCTCAGACCTACCTTCCTCCTCTGTCGGTCTCTCTCCCTTCCCTCTGTCTCTCTCCCCTTCCTCTCCTCTCTCCGTCCTCACTCTCGTCTCTCTCCCTTCCTCTCTCGGGCTCTCCTCCCTTTCCTCTCTATCGTCTCTCTCCCTGTCCTCTTCTCGTCTCTCCCCTTCCCTCTCTCAGTCTCCCTCTCCCTTCTCTCTGTCTCTCCGTCGATCCCTTCCTCTCTGTCTCTCCGTCTC